AGGGATGTTTGCAGATAGCTAGTAGAAGCCCCCTACTTTGTAGCAACTTTCCTTGGAGCTTTCAGATCTCCTGCTGACAGTCTGAGTGTTCTGCTTCCCTGGACCTAAACTCTTTAAGTGCTCAGATCGCTGCCTGAAATTCCTCTTGGCTGAACTCTGTCACGCTTTGCTGACAGCTCTGAAAGCTTGAGTCTAATTGGCTTACATGAGTGAAATACCCTTCATTTTGCCCCGCCCCAATTCTACCTAACCCTTAAAACTTCCAATTCAGCTTCCTTTTCTCTGACCAGTTGGTGTAATTGAGCTTCAGTGCTTGTCTGGGACCCACAGAGCTCATAGAGCTCCTTGGAGACAACATACAGCTCATAGGTGTCAGCCGATGGTCCGGGCAGCGAAGCGAGTGTGTGTGTGTGTGCGTGTGTGTGTGTGTGCGTGTGTGTGTGTGTGCGTGTGTGTGTGTGTGCGTGTGTGTGTGTGTGCGTGTGTGTGTGTGTGCGTGTGTGTGTGTGTGCGTGTGTGTGTGTGTGCGTGTGTGTGTGTGTGAGAGAGAGATACACCCGAGACTTCAACTGCTGAGACCGGGGTCCCTTTGCAGCAGGCAACCTGGAGGAGGTTACAGGGAGAGCTTATTACACCTCAGATTTCAGCTGCTAGAATACAGGATCCCTTCGCAGCTGGCAGTCTAGGGAAGACTGAGAGATGCCCCAACGGATCTGTCATCTGGGAGTGACACGATCCAAAACACCCAAGCTCTTCCTATACCTGTCCCTTATGACCGGCGGAAGTTCTTTTAAATTGTGCTTGGTTCTGTTACAACAACTGAAGAAGTCAGGTCACAGCTTAAAGTTACTATTTTATTGTTACAGGGTAAACTTAGCTGTTAAATGCTACTGCTGTGTTACAGATAACACAGCCACTACAAAGGACAGGACAGAAAGTACACTAATAAGTCACTTACAGGTACCATGAAACCCTTTTGGTTCTCTGAGCTCTTATTAAATGCATGCAAAATAGACACCTAGCAGGTATATATTCTCTCCCCTGTGTTCCAGACTTGGGGTGGCCAGCGTCTTTCTCTCAATCCCTCGGGAAGAAGTAGGGTGAGGTTGGGCGTCCCACAGACCTCGGGAGTCAATCAATACCTGCCAGCAGGTGTAGATGATTGGAGCTCAAATGGGGTGGGCTACTAAACCTCTTTATATCCCTTGGGTCACGTAGGCTTCTTCCTGGTCTCAAGTGGCCAATTAGGAAAAATGGCTTTGAATGCCAAGTTTCCCACGAAGGGTGCAAAGCATAATTCACACCTGGGAAAATGCAGACAATGGGCACCTCTGGTATGTGATGGGCGAAGATTCCTCTCCTGGGACAGTGCAGGCGTGTCAATTACTGGTACTAGCCATCAGGACGGCAGGAGGCCTCGAGTCGTCAGCTAGCCCATTTACTGTCTGGTTTCTGTTTATGGTAGAGTCAGGGACAGGCAGCACACCTGCGTTCCCAGGGCATCAAAGGCTGACTGCCTTTCCCTTGCTCTCTGGGGGGAGGGGGACGGAAACCAAGATGGGGTTCATGTCTGGCTACAATAGGTCAGAGCCTTTTTTTCTGCTTCTTGTTAGCAGACTTACCCTGTGTAAATCTCTCCTAGCACCTTATCAAGGGGGAGTACGCCTTGCCTCCCTGGAGCAGCCCTCCCTTTTCCAAAGAATGCCACACAAAATGCCGTGAAAGGTTTATTCTGTGCCAGTACTCTCCTGGCTTCTCCAATGGTCCTCCCAGCCGCCAGTGGGCAAGCAGTTGATGGTTTAATACCACCCTTGCATGAAACAGCAGCACACAGCCACCCACCCACGGTTGCCGCTCTAATACCCACAGTAGCATCTTCCCACCCACATACTGGACTGCTAGCTGTTGACCAAGCCAGCAAATAAATAGGTGTCCTGTTTCAATTGCTAGACTGTTAGGCAAGGACTTGATTTTATCAATCTCAGGCTAGGACATCTGGATTAGAAGGGCCCCAAGCTCAGGCTCTCCACCCGTACCATGTATTTATCACTGGTTACTAGTCAAGCATGAAGGATACAACAGGGGGGCTGGTCCAACAAACAGCTTTATTTAACACAATACCAAAACTAATAGGACACCTTGAACTGGCAAACAAAACATAAAACCCAGTTGTCAAAAGCAACACAGTGGCATCAAGCCAGAACCCAACCTACAGATAACAGAATTGCGCAAATTTGATACCATCATGCTCTCGATTGGAGGGGAGACAGGAAGATACTGCAGGAACAGGAGAGACAGGATAGAATTCGGGGTAGCAGGTCATTGTCGTAGGCGCTCAAGTTGGCAGGGGAGGAGCGGAATTGATCTTTTCTTCAGCTCTCCCCTTCTTCACTCATTGTCATGTTTGTAGAATGTGAACGAGGAAGGCAAAGGACAGGTGGTTGCAAATATTCCTGCCTTAGCTGTACTGCTGTTGCCCTGACCTAAATAAAATACACTGTGTGGCAGCAAATGCTACTGGGTGTGGGGAAATAGAGTTGCTCCAACACTGGGGTCCGTCCCTGACTCTCTGGTTTGAGATTCCCAGTCTCTCAGTGGTAGACAAGCAACCGGGCCCTAGTGGCCTACTGAGCTGATCGAATGCCTCAGCTGCCTGAAAGGGTCACAGTCAAGCTGCTGCTTCAGCGCTAGAGTCGCAGAAAGCCCTGAGGGATGAGTAAGTACCCCCTTAAGTCCTTTTGTTGCCAAGCAGATTAGGGTCAGGTGACCACACTTTTTCCCACCTTCCTCTTCCGGGTTTAGGATAGTGACGGAGGCTGCCTTAGAGGAAAAATCAAAACGAAGGCCACAGAAGCACTGGTGCCCCTCCCCCAACAGGGGGAGAGAGGGTGGTAGCAGAAAGTCCATCTCTTTTTTGAAATGCGAGTTGAAGACAACGATGGACACTGACATAGTGGAGTGGGAGTCAGACTTATTGGCCCCCACTCAACTTGTGAGGAGACAAAAGACCTGAAAATTTAAGTCTCAAATCTGCCATAGGAGCAAACTTCTGGGGTTCCAGAGAATAGGCAGGTGGCTACTGCTGCCCTGTATATGAAAAAGCCAATGCCTACATTGTTATTACTATACATAGCCATGAATTTAGATTGCATACATATAGGCAAGAGAACAGTATCTCTGTAAGAGATACAGGTAATTGATAATATAGTCAGGGTAAGGTACCCCTCCTGCGATAAAGCCTAGTGATATAAATGCGAATAGGTGCCTAAAATAATGTCCACTTGCTGATATGACTGATGGCAGATCTGACCCCTCTGTGATACTCAAGAGTTATTGGACACTGCAGGGCAAGAAAAGAATGCATTAGACATCCATGGTCCCTTTCATCTGTGACCCCAAGTTCAGTTCCTCAAGTCAGGAGGCTTGGATATAGTTCAATAAAGCAGCATCAAGTCCTTTGCAATAAAGCTATACAGCTGCTGAGGCCCTCCTGGAGCAGGTGAAACCAGGGAGCAACAATCAAGAAAAATGGACATTTTAGGCTGATTGGAAACACAGAGCTGTCCTGCTACATACTGCAGGTTTGAAAAGGAACCACTCCTTGTAATGCAAGGCCCACTCAGAGTATGTCTACCCTGCATTAAAACTCCCATGGCCCATGTCAGCTGACTCAGAGTTGCAGAGCTCAGGCTGCAGGGATATCAAACTACAGTGCAGGTGTCTGAGCTCTGCACAAGACCATTCCCAATATTGTAGCGCACTGAGTACAATTCTGCTCCAACTGTATCTAAAACCACCTCTTAAGCAACCAGTTTGTTAGCTCCTTGAGAAGTCACTTGGAGAAATTTCAATTCACGGTTACTCTCCAGTTTAGACAGCTCACGTAGTTTCCGTAACTTTGTCAGACTTCCCTCAACCAACTAAGCATCTAGTTCAAACCAGATTTTTTCCCCACTTGATACAGCTAGTTACAGTACTATTTAAAAACAGACTACTATATATAAGATGAAATACATAATAAATACATGACAGGTTGTTTCACACACTTCACATTGACAGAACCATTGCTCAAAATGAGCAATGAAATGGTGTATTTAAAGTTGCACACAAATCCAGACAAAAACATTTTTAAGGTTCAGATGAGTTTAGTGTAAAGTAGCTAACCTCAAAAGCAAAAACAAACATCCCATAAAAGGCAAAGAGCAAAATTAAGTATTTACATTCAGTTTTAATAACCTGCAGTTGTACTAACACCCAAGTAAATTTAATTACTAGCCTGATACTGCCTTCTTAAAAAAAAAGGCAGCTAAACAATTTTATCTTTAAGTGCAACAAGTTAAAAGAAAATCCATGTTGAATGTTTAGAACTTTGATCCACAATACCTTAGATGCCAAACTGTAATTCTGTATTTTCACCTGCAGTTATACTATCTTAGGCTATGATCCCCTAAACCATGGGTTCCCAAACTGGGGGGCGTTGCCTCCCGGTGGGGGGAAGAGTGAAGAAATTCCAGAGGGGGTGCGAGGCGACCCAGCCCTCCCCCGGCATCAAGTTTTGCTGCCCTGCTCAGTTCCTTGCTCAACAAGTTTTTTGGGGGGTCGGGGGGGCATGAGGGTTTTTCAAAGATCAGAAAGGGGGGCATGTGGTGCTGGCAATTTAGTAGAGGGCACTTTCTATCTCAAGCCAGGACTGCTCTAAAGTTCAGGACAAAGTCAAGGGTGTTGAGAGGGAGATAAAGTATTTAGGATGAGAGGTTTTTTAAAAAAAAAAAAAAAAAAAAAAAAAAAACCACACAAACTCTCCCCCATCCTCACTCTGTGTTTTCCATTAACAAACCTGTGTGATCCTTCTGACCAATGTGGTGATCTCCGCATCTTTGCTGCATTGCAAAGCGGCTTATCTACTGAGCTGCATACATTTCCTTCTGAGAGAACACATGACGAGAGGATGGACTGATTGAGGGGGAACCCTTAGCACAAACAACAGCAGGACATAGCTGGGCTTTTGCATTTTTTTAATTGAAAATTTACATTGACGTTAGAAAGGTATCACACTTTAACAGTACTGGTTCTCCAATGTTTGTCAGGTAACTATATATGCAGTGCAGTCACTCACACTTCCATTTGTAAAAAAAGGAAACAAAAAAAGAGAGAGAGAGACAGTAGAATACAGTTCGGAAAAACATGCAGTGAATGTATCAAGGGAGAACAAGACAAGCAAAAAAGTTCTAGGAGAGGTGTCAAATGCATTCTAAGGACACTGCATTCTAGTCACATGGTATTTGGAAGGCATATTCTCAGCCAATTACAACTCCACCACTTTCATCTCAATAACTAAGGATAAGATCATTCTCTAACTAAAGCACACAGGGAAAGGTCAGACTATTTGGGGTATTTTACACAATAAATGATTAACATTAAAAACAATCTCACTCAACCCTGTGTCAGTCAGGTGATACGGTTTAATAACGTGGAGGAGGCACAAATGACACTAATGGAAACATTTCATTTTGCTTTACTTCTTCGTTAGAATTAAGTATTCTGTGGCCGGCTGTCAACGTAACAAATCGCACTTCATTTCTGTTTTCTTTGCCATCGAATACAATAGTTTTCAGAACAAACCAACAAACTCACATATGGAAAACACCCCCGTCAGGCTTCCACAGATCCTTGGAGGGGGATCCATGACCCTTCTAATAAGCCCAATAAGAGGAAAAAACATGGCGGTAACCCAACGTTTTGAAAATTTGGCTACTCAATCTAAACATCACATTTCTGTTGCTCCTCCAAATTTTTGTACACGATCAGCTTTCCCCAAGATTGTGCTGTCTTGTCACACAAAATACAAGACACTTCAATTTTAAATACCATGCAAGTCAGAAAGGAGCTTCTTTCCAAGACACTAACACTGAAGATTTGGTTTCCCCTAGACATTAGAGGATCCCTAAACTCTTCTACAAGTGGAGTCTTCTCCCTCAGTGCAGCTGGCGAAGACAGATTTAAAAAAAGCTACAGGAAGAGAGAAAAACAGGAGATCATCAAAAAGGAGAAGGACATTCAATAAAGAAAGAGACTCAACATGAAAAACAATAAATAGAAAAGAGCTGGGCACATGCATCATTTCTAAGCAATTAAGGATCCTGGAGGGGCTGCTCAAAGTGCTTAAAGAAAACCAGACAAGTTACAAGAATGTTTTTAAAAAGTTTAATAGCATTAAAAAACAAAAGTCCAGTGATCTAAAACAAACCCGCAATGCAGCAAGTGAAAGCAAGATGAAAAGCCCCTTTCAGCGAATCCCTAGAACCCCTGACGAAGTGAGACTGGCGTATTTCAGAAAACATGCTTACACATTTCACAGAGCTGAAAGACGCAAAAGCTTAAAATATTTTTAAAACATTTAAAAAAGAAAATCAAGGCTTTTTGGAGGGAAAAAAGTGTCTTTACAGTGAAACAGGACACCTGAGACAATATAAATAAATCACAATTAAGCGTTTTAATAGTCTTGATTTCTAAAACGAGGCCACACCTTAGTTTCATTTATGGATTACTGTACAAGGTTAATTGACCACTTGAGTTACTAAGTGGTTGGTAAGAAGGCTCAATACACATACCACTCTAGTGCTTTAAATTCAACTCCCCATGAACATTATTTGCTAGCCTTAGAACAGGGATAGGGAACCTCAGACTCAGGGACCAGATGCGGCCCCTCACTTTCCTGGATCCGGCCCCCAAGGCTCAGGGAACCCTCCCCCCCACAGCATTGGGGAGCCTGTGCTTATTCTCCAGCCCTCTCACTGCTGCTCCACCGCGGGTCTGGAGAACACAAAATCTATTAGGCTGGGCCTCCCTAGGGTCAGGTGAGAGTGGGGAAAGTGGAGAGTGTCTTTCTCCTCCTCAGTCAGCAGCCACTTCTCACTTGCATGTGGCTCCTGACGGATTTTTCTGTGGGTCAATGGCTCCCAACCCCAAAAAGTTCTCCACCTCTGCCTTAGAATAATACTTTTTGGAATGCCTTGCATCAGAGTATACTTCACTACTGAAGACTAGAGACTATATACGCCCCTAGAGCCAGGAGTTTGTTAAAAGATTTGGGGTAGTATGTGGTCCAGAAGCTTGTTTTGAATATAAAAATCATGGTTCTCAGTGGAAACAATGAAAAATTTACCTGAGTGGTATCTATCAATTTATATCAGTACGCAGATGAGCCTCTGTTCATTAATGTGATTTACGTTCTGGCAATAACAAAGCTGTCACAAATACGCGTGGGGTACCAACGAACGGGAGGGGTTTGGGGTGGGAAATGGGGTGGAGAGTAGAAGGAAAGAGGGATGTTTGCTTCAAACTTTGTAACATGCACAATTCAGATCTTTCTAGGTAAAGTCATCTCTCAGCATACAACTTTGTATTGAAAGATCATCTTATACCCAGAATGGCCATGTAAGTGTGCTTATCTTACATGAGTTTTAAGTTTCAATGGATCATAAAAGCAGCATTTACCAACACGGACCCTGAACCTGCAGTGGGATGTGTGCTGGCAGACTGCCACAACCAGGTAGCATCAGTGCACACAGGATCCAAAAGCCAGATCAAAGTAGTAGGAATGTCAAATAAGTATTAAAATCCCCATTTTTAGGCAACATGACTTAAGATAATTAATATTTTACAACAGTCGTATCAATACAAAGCAATACAAGGAAAGTTCTTAACCTCTCAGTCATACACCATAATCAAACCAAGGTGTTGTTGTCTTCTTAAACTCACCAATAAATATATTTTAATCTGTACTGTTATTTTGACAGCACAAAAAAAAAAAAAAAAAAAAAAAAAAAAAAAAAAGAACCACAACCCTTAATATTTTAGGTTGGGGGGAAAGGGGAAATCTATTTAATGTTATTTAAAAAAAAAAAAAAGATGTAGGGTTAACAGTGTCCAAAAACCTCATTACCTTTTTACATGGTTTAATAAAAGCAATAGCCATCAGTACACAGTAAAGACAGACTCATGATGAATATAGTTAACAGAGCAGTTTTGCATAGGAAGGCCAGGACTGAAATATCATGAGAAGCTGTCAGTTTCTACTAGAACCTCCAATTTAACAAGTAAATGAAGGTCCATTCCAGCCCACTGTATTCAGGGAATACTATTCAGTACAGAGCCATGGGTTACTGTAAAAGAAGGGCAAAAAAATGTAATGTTAACCAGAATTCACAGTCTGAGGAAGACTATAGTAAACATTTCCCCAACATATACAAGACACTCATATGCAGACTGCGTTAAGAGGTATGTCTAGGGGTCAAAGTGTACCTGGCTACTGGGTAAAATGTTAGCCTCACTGAAGTCAGTGGCAAGAGTACCATACTTCCGTGCAAATTTTGCATTGAAAAAATCTTTTGGTGAAGAGAAAACTTCAGCCACATGGCAGCATTGCTCAGGAACACACATGTTGATCATTTCTCAGCAATACTTTATGTATTAAAACCAAAAAAATATTACAGGTCCTGAAAAACAAGTCACATGGAAATATTGCAACATATCTTTCTTCATAAACACCAGTTTGTTCTAGCAAGTAAACATGGGTCCAAGCCATCAATGTTCCCTGAGTTAAGATCCAGAGTTTGTTTCAACCCACTCAAATTCATGGAGGATAAGTTCATCAGTGGCTACTGCCAGGATGGGCAGGGAGGGTGTCCCTAATTCATTTTCTAGAAGCTGGGAATGAGTGACAGGGAATGGATCACTGTATGATTACCTGTTCTGTTTATTCCCTCTGGGGCAGCTGGCACTAGCCACTGTTAGAAGACAGGATACTGGGCTAGATGGATCTTTGGTCTGAACCAATATGGTCATTCCTATGTTTATCCTAGTGGTAGAGCAAGACAATTAAGAAGGCAACATAGACTGAATCAGATCTGAACCTCCCAAAATGCAGGAGCATTGAGATCTGACATTTTGGTTCAGTGGGGAGGGATAGCTCAGCGGTTTGAGCATTGGCCTGCTAAACCCAGGGTTGAGAGTTCAATCTTTGTGGAGGCCATTTGGGGCAAAAATTTGTCAGGGATGGTACTTGGTCCTACTGTGAAGGCAGGGGACTGGACTCAATGACCTTTCAAGGTCCCTTCCAGTTCTAGGAGATAGGCAATCTCCTTTAAATTTAGTTCACCAGAAGGAAAGGGAAGAAACCACAGTGGTTGTGGTGCAAAGACTGTATCCTGATTTGGTTTTCCCAAAGTCTGGGGGGGGGGAGGGGCTGTTCCATCCTCTGGGGTTTGGCTCAGGCCCATCCCTACTAGCATTGCAAGTTTTGTAACAGTTACTTCAAATTAACCATATCAAACAACAGCACATCTAAATAATGATGGATTAGATGTTTATACGTGAAATGAAAACAAACAAAAAAAAGAGGAAAGCCTCTATTCTAGGCAGCCACATGTCATCAAAATGCACGACTACAGCATTCACAGGCAATCTGTGATAAGGCTCAGGCATCATGGCACTAAGTGCAACCAACAAGCAGCCGTGCTCTCTTACCATGCAGTTGTGAAACAAAAGTAAGAAACAGTCATAACAATTTAGGACAGAGAACACTAGTCACTTGGCAAACGTGCTACTGATCCAGGGAACAGATAGCAGCGTTTAGCATCTCTTGTCAGTTCCACACAGGTTACTGCTGGGTTCTTCACCAAAAAACCGCCAAGAATGCAGCCTCTTTTGCTTTTTTAAGAGTGATGAGAAGGAGAGAATGGGAGGGTGATAAAGATGGGCAAACAGGCACAGTGGCACAACAGCATGTTAACAATGTGGGGGCATTCGGTTCTGGTGCGAAGGGAAAGGTTCTACAGGAAACCCGAACTGAAAATGAAAGAAAAAAAAAAGGCAGATTAATGTTTTTATGGATTAATTTTAAAATAAAAAATAATATGGTTCCAAACATACAGGACAAATGAAAGTGTTGCAGTGTGTTAATAAAGTTTAATTTGATTGATTATGAGACATGCTTTCTACACAGGCACACACAAGCAGTGGGATGAACCAGGCTTCTATTTAAAACAATCCTTTTGGATCTCTGCACATAACAGGATGGATAATCGGTGGACCATTTACATCCTTGCAAAACAGTGACACCCTTTAGGGATCAGTAAGTATTGTGATTATTTTCTGAATTGTTGAAAAAAAATCAGATATCCATATTAAGCTCAGCAAGGACAAATGCCCATTCAAAAAGGCACTGTCTGCAATTGTGTCTTTTGAACAAAAGAACTTTATTGAATTCAGAGCCCAGCACACAACTGCATCCAGTTACAAGGACTGCCACCAAAGGCAATCCAAAACCAACAAAAATCAGTAATGTTCACTTCAACTGCATTTTAGCTCTGGCTTTGTATTCTGCACTAGAATGATCATCACTGTTCTTTGGTCTTATTTTTCATGTTCAGATCCTGGAAGGAAAGAATTGCTCTTTTCTTTGTTTTACATCACTCTCATCAGCAGTAAGAACACTCATCTTGTCAGAGGCTTGTGAAGATTTCTTTGGATTATTTTAGCAAAGACACTTCTGGAGATCTTACCGTTAAGAGGAGCTTGGTAGACACATGAGCTTCACTTACAAGTTAACATTTACTTTCTATTCTAATTACAATTATTTCCTCCCTCTCTGAATAAAACTAGAACCAGCTTTTCTTTCCCTGTTTAAGAACAGGCTGTGGATTTGTTAATAGCTAGAACCTACAGAGAGAACTTCATTTTAATAGGTTTTAGTGAGGGCGTGTAGAATGGTCCAAATGGAACTAATACTGATTCTCTTTATAAAAAATGAGTAAATATTATTATTTTAAAGGTGCAGTCTGAAATGTTAACAGGGCTGACATGCCACCAACACTTGGACAATAAAAATGGTTGATTTGCCAAAGAGCTAGTTGTTTTATTATCTGTCTTGTAGGAAATTGAAAAACCCACATATGTACTCATTAATGCCTGTGCTTAAAACAAGTAGACAGCTGTAAACATCAGTTTTGTGTTCATCTATCCAATAGAGACATGGGTGCCTTCTGTCTCCTTCAGCTGACAAGTGCATTTCTTAAAAGTTGTCTTTTATATAAATTATCCTCCTCTTTATAACATAAGACCCCAAATGCTGAAAGCACTTGCTCACCACAAGTTATATTCTCTCTGGTCAGGCACCAGAGGACATGCATGCTCATACAGACGATGAAGCTTCCCTAGTGCTAGGCAGCACATCTCATTTCCATGTGGTAAGAATAGATGTTAGAGACAGAAGAGACCCATGAGCTAATGATATTGCAGTGAAGACAAACCTGCTTGTGCAGGATGAATAGTTTTGCAAGCTTGATTAAAATTCCTTGAGGACTAATGTACTAAGGAGGAAGCACTTTTGTAGCCTCTTTGTTGAAACATGCTCTTTTATAAGACTCTAGCAACTACCTTAAACCTGAATGTACATGGAATGGCCCAGAGAGGGGAAGGGAATTCCAGGAGATGGTTGGTTTTAAAAGATTGAATGTATCTAGGGTGGTAATCCTTTTCACCAAAAATCCTAGTTTAATATTAAAGATTACTGGCATCTCTTGCTCGATATGCAAAGCATAAACAATGTTTCTGATTTCTTAATATCAATTATGGAAGTCTGCAGCCTGTGATCCTGGATCATTTTAGAATCTGAATTGGATGTTTGTCTTACTTGACAATAGATTATTTAAAAGTAATTAATGCTCTGTGATTATATGATGCCTTTAGATGAATGAAGGCTCACAGTTCAGAGACTTTCAATGTTTTACCTGTGGCCTGGCTGAGAGTCGAGAATAAAACTCAGTTTTGAAACCAAGTCCTGCATTCTCACCAGGAGATACTACCACCACACCCCAGGTGAAAAAGCCAATTTTCACCAGATATCTTGATTCTATCATCACCATAAGCATTTCTATAACAACTATTACCATAGTGCTGGAGAAGCCTACATATTTAAAGAATAAGCTAAATGGCTGTCAAGTTCAGAAGGAAATGCCCGTTATGCTTATTTAGCTCTGTCTATTAGCATTACAAATCAAAACAATTCTATAGGCATAATCTTGCACATTACTTTGCAGCATCTTCAAAGAACATATAAAATTACAGTGCATAGGTGAAGGGTGTAACAGTGTTTGCACAACTATAGACAGGTAATACATCCACAGCAGGTAAAAAGGGCGAGAAAATGCACTGACTTTAAGTTTGTGTGTTTTTTGTTGTTTTCAGGAACTCTAATTAATCCCACTGCAAGATCTATTTTAGTTAATAAAGCTTACCAGGGCAATGTACCTCATGCACCATGCAGCAAACAGCAGTTAACTGTAAAACAGCACACAAGTAAGAACTACTGATGATGGAATGACAATAGAAAAAGAAATCAAGTCATGAATTAGTGCAATTAATAGAGTTTGAACTCCATAAAAGAAGCGAGACGTACTGGGAAATAGACAGTCTAGTCTATGTTCAGCCACTATAAAATGAGTTTAAATACTGCGTAAATATAATCCATGGCATGTTATGGAGATTTCTGATCTAAATACTATAATGGAACATATAGGACAATATCAACTCTAAGATTTAAGTAAACAGCAAAGCACAATATCACATTTAAAGACAGCTTTTGTACCTGAGAGCAGAGAATCCTCTTACTAAATTACTGTTATCTTCAGTGCTCAGTATGGTGAGCGCTCACTCTTGATGGTGTTTTCTGGGTCCCTGAACTTTGCAGTGAAGATAGTACAGGTTGAACCTCTCTACTCCAGCACCCTTGGGACTTGACCAGTTCCGAACATGAGAATTGTTCAGACCATAGGAGGTCAATATTGTCTAGCAGCATTACTAACACTTCTACTGCTTAGTGGGCACTTAGGGGTAAATTAGAACTAAATAACAGCACAGAACACTGAGAGCTAGGACTGGTGGCTGTAAAACTTTATGGGACTGTGGGAAATCTGGCTACACCCATGAAAAGTGAACATCTGGCTAACTAAAATCATTCAGGACAGACGTTTCCAGACCAGAGAGTTCTGGACTAGAGAGGTTCAACCTATACTAAACCCTTTTATGCCTAATCAAGCTGAATGCTAGAAATGACACATTGGGAAAGGGACAGTCTCAACACAGATACACAGAGCATGCTTGGGTGCTTCTGGAGTTGTTTATTCTGTAGAGACATATCATGGAATATGATAATCTCTCTCTCTATGCTGCTCTGGCAAGATCAATCTTAAGGCAAAAAAATCTTTAATCCACAGTGAAGATCACCATGACTGTTCTGCACGTAAGATTTCTATGGATGTCCGTGTGTTCTAAATGTGGAACACATGCAAAACATGCAACAAAGTGCGATATAAGTTACAAGACAGACTTTTGTCCTCTACACCACTTAATTCCGTCCTGGTCACCTCAGTAACAAGCTGTTGAGGAACTGAAGGGAACTCAAAACAAAAATAAAAGTGAATAGGAGGCTGAAGGAACCTCCAAGAGAGGAAAGCACAGAAAAGCTAATCAGACAATAGCCACAGCCTTACAATGCGTGTGCAGCCCACAGTAAAACCAAGACGATAGAAGTTTAGAAGAATTAAGCTAAAACATAAAATGGCATATTAAATGTTGGACCTGATTCTTTACTGCTGAACGATAGTGATCAAACTGCTACAAAAAGTTCCAAACAAAGAGAAGACATCCTTTCATGACAAACGTTCTCATCTGGCTCCTTGGCCATCTCCTATATTCCTCATAGTAATGGGACTAATTGGGTTACTTAGGACTGCTTACTGCATGCAGAGTTAATCTTGCATTTGCACAGATGGTCTATGCATTTGCACAGGTGTCAATCGTGGAAGCTATAAAAATGGATTGTTATATGCACAATGCTCCTAGTACACACAAGATGGCAGTGGAACTCTGTTTCAGGTAATGTACCATCACAGAGAGAAATAACTGGCCACTTTTGGGTGGAATGACAGGTTGCCTAAGTATGGATGACTATGTTGCTCTCTAGTGGTTGCAGACTGTAGGTCATGGACCCAGTTCTCCACTCTATTACACTAGCTTTCCCAGCAAAATAATACCACTGAAAGCCTGCTTTCGATCTTAATCTCTTCACCTATGTTGAGTCACACACCAGGTTCTTACATTTTCCCCACGGAAAATATTATTTAGCTGATGTTGCTCTAAAGTAGCTAGAATTCACTGAGTAACCAATAAATATCTACAGATCTGCATGTGTTTGTGGCAGTTGGCTTCAATGGAAAGTCTCCACAGTGTAACCAGGAGCTATACGAAAAGCTCTAAACACTGGAAAAACTCAACTCTCTCAGTTTTAAATGAACAGGTAAATGACAGACGAGAAGCTCCTTTGTTCATCTTTTGCTACCTCCTCTGCTCAAATCCTGCTCTAGATGCATGGTACATCCAAATGGCTCCAGTGCTCTTCTTGCTTCTATACCTAACTACAGCAAATGGAGCTCTGTGTGAGACCCAACATCTGGCACCTCTTTGGACCACATGGAATTGTTCTCCATCATGGTGCTCACATGTTGTCCACAGGAAAACATGGGAGGTCCCTGAACAAGCACTACATCAGGCTAGTTTTGTTTTGAATGCCATGGCATAGATAGGGAAAAGACAGCTGAATGGTACCCCAACTAGGCCTGGTTTAAAGCACCCATCGGCTAGTGGCAGCCAAAATACTATGCAGACTAGTTAGCACTGGGTTCCTTGGTCTTCAAGATGAAATGTGATGGTCAACAGCGTCATGTTACTATTCAGCCATATTAGGGGCTGAAAGTCTGTCTCACTTCACCTTTAGGAACTAATAAAATAAATTCATTACCAGGAAGCAAACACCATCAGGTTAGCCACTTACTTTTTTCTCTCCTTCTCCCTTTTAAGAGTCTGTGATCCTCCAGCCTGCTGGGCCTGAGACTGGAGCAATTCAGCTGCCATCTTCCTTTGTTTAAATGCGTTTACTTCATCGTCCAGAGATTTCTTCTTGTCTTCCAGCTTCTTTTTTTCATCCTGATGCAGCTTCTTGAGACGATCAAACTTTTCATGCAGCTAGAGTGAAGAAGAACAGAGGCAGATCATTCAAGCAGAACAAGGCATTAGCAGACACTCCAACACGGAGGTACTGTATTGATTCTTCCTCCATCTGACTCTGCTTGGGAGAACTGATTAGATACCACAAGCCAGTTATCGTAGGTCCATAACAACATGCTATACAGCCCATGGAAATCAGGTGCTTATTATAGTAATGTCAAGAGCAGCAGTGGGCAAAGAACAGCCCGCGAGCTGGATCCAGTTTGCCAGGGTTAGCCCCTGACAGGCTACCACTGCTGTATTCACCTGTCTCTCTACAGGTATGGGCAATTGCAGCTTCTGTTGGCAGCGAATCACTGTTCCTGGCCAATGAGAGCTGTGGGAAGCAGTGTCCCGATTGGCTGGGAACGGCAATCTGCAACCAATGGGAGCTGCAGTCACCCATACCTGCAGAGGCACAGATGAACACAGTGGTGGCAGCATAAAGGGGCTAACCTTGGCGAACACCAACATCTTGTTAGCCACCCCTGTCCTACAGCCCCCATTGTGCTACGGAGTAGTAAACCGTCCTTACCCCAAAACATTTACAAATCCTAGGCATTATTTTATTAATATATCATTGAGAAAGGTGTGGATAAAGTGGGAAAATTGGCAGACAATGTATAGTTACAAAAAGTAGCAGTCAAATCCCCCTCCCCCCGCCCAAAACAAAGGAAAAACAAGGAGTCCTTTGGCACCTTAATGACCAACACATTTATTTGGACATAAGCTTTTGTGGACTGGAACTCAGTTCATCAGATGGGTTCTTGCCTTGAAAGCTTATGCCCAAATAAAAGTGTTAGTTTTTAAGGTGGCACAGGGCTCCTTATTGTTTTTGCTGAAACAGACTAACATGACTATGCCTCTAAAATGTGTTTTTATTTATTTCAATCCATTTACTTTACTTTCTAATAGGATCTTTGGGTTATTTTTTGAAAATTTTCTTAAGTACCTACTTAACTACAGAGGTTGGTAAATTATAGGTTTTAGTCTCCAACAGCCAGATATAGATTACAGCTATCTCATGCCATAAACTTTATTCTTACAAGCCATCACATGGCAAGATTTATTCCCCTTATGATGTGCAGGAAGTATGTATGTATGTTTAAATTCCTAGCACATGGGGAAGAGAGACTGAAGATTCCATTTCTTTCAAGGCCCTAGTTTCACTCCTGGCACCTTGGCGCACACACAGCGGACGTGGAGGGGAGTTCAATAAAACAAATGGGAAGAGAACAGACCAGGGATGACCACTGAACTAAGGGGTCCGAGTTCTCCCTAGGCCATGTACACATAATACCTTAAATAAATACATCACTTTCACCGTGCTATGATATTATCTGGTAGCCATCACAATAGAAGAATGTTGCATTTTCTTATGGAATAAAAATGTTACAACCAGGTTCCCCCCCGACTCCACAACCGACTCCATTCTGAGCAAGTCACTATGTGGAGAGAACGTGGCCTAGCTTCAGAATGGCAATTTCAGCACTAATGTTCCTGAGGTGAATTTAATGCTCACAACAGCAGAGGACTGGAGACAGACAGAGCCATCTTTACCTCTTTTTCGGCCTCTTTAAGTTCTGCTTCTTTCTCCTTGACTCTCTGGACGAACATTTGCCTCATCTCCTCTTCCTTTTTCTGTAGTTCCCCCAGAAACTCATTCCTCTTGGCCTCATAGGTCTCTTGTAAGCTAAAGAGGGGAAAAGCAACACAAATAATCAGTGGTCTAACTTCTGCTCTCAATTTGTGCATCTCCATTAAAAATCATGAGTGTGACTATACATGGCAGTGCAGAATTTGACCGTGTTGCTCTAATGCCATCAGTCATCTTCAGACATCTCCCTCACTTACGGACCATTGGGGTTCTATGTGTGGCCTATGAGACATTCTGTTTGCTGCTACCCACACACAGGGTTGCCAGATTCTGTTGGCTTTTGTCCACATAATTTTTTTTCCTACTGGTATTACAAAAGTGATATGCATGTAAAGCAAGGGCACGTAAAGCGAGGTGCATGCTGATTGCACACAACATAGTGAGAGCTGTGCTCTCCCTCTGCATCCAATCAAAGCACTGCTATGGCTCAATCGGCACACCGTACAAATTCTAGGCACAGTAGCGCAATTGGAAAAACTACCCTATTCTGGGAAACTATCTTGTTACCCACTGAGATGAAGAAGGGCCACTTGTGCAGCCCACGCACTAGCCTAGATTGCCCCTCATGGTCTTAAGAGAAGGGGCCACTCTAAACCCACATCCAATCACCCTTAGGACTCTGGGGAAGTTTGACTCCTGATCCAAACTTGGCAGAGTAGGTCTGTCTCATTTTGCAATGGGTTTGGCTGACTGTGGGCTGTGCCCACAAAAGCTCATGATACCATCTACATGTTTTGTTAGTCTTTAAAGTGCTACCAGACTATTTGTTGTTTTTTAAGATTATCCTACAAAGACTAACTCCGCTACCCCCTGAAGCTGTTCAAGAACAGTCATCTGCAAATGAATGCCCAACATACCACACCCTCCTCAGATGTCCAGCTTGGAGCAGGAGCAGTGCCTTTGCTTCAGAGATGATAGAGAGCGTCAAACATTCCAGTTCTAGGAGAGTCTCACATCCCCATCATAAGTCAAGCTTTGTTTCTTGTACTGCTTTCCCTTCCTCTCCTCCCTACCGCCCGACATACATTTTCCCTACCCAGTCCTCCTCACCCAGGCCCAGTTTCCTTCCCCCACTTTTCCTATCCACGACTTTTTGAGGTGAATGGAAGGCTTTCAACTGATTTCATTGGGCTTTGGATCAGACCTTCACCATTAAACCCTTCATCCACATATAACATGCTGCTCGCTAATCCATACATCTCCAAGGGCCCTTCCTGCCATGCAATTATTAGTTCTGGTCATTATTACAGAGCTTGAATGGATGGGCAAATTACTAGCCCACTACTGCCTGGCTGAACTGTTCTAGCCTCCTAACTTAGCTGTGACTGGATGAAAAAAGAACAGCAGAAACCACTACTGGATACTCTTGTGACCAGACTGACAAATCGGTCAGGCAAAGCATTTAAAGATGGACATTTATTCAAAGGGAAACGACTACACCATGCCTTGCAGGGGGTCCCCATGGGGTAAGAGGCTCCTCAGCTTCCTAAGTGAGATTACTTCCCATAGTTCTCTGCTTCTGGCGTTCTCCTCGTCAACCCCTCCTCCACCCTGCACCTCATTTCATTCATGCCCCATGCTACACTGTCACTTCGTTTCCTTACTTCTCCTTCCCCCACTTCTCTCTCTCTGTGGTGGAACCTCCCACTGAAGTGTTAAGGAGCTGCGGTGGCGTTACTCAGCAGGGCTGTGAGCAGAGTCCAATTAAGATTCCAAAGATCACACATTTCAGGAGGTTCCAGTTTTCTGCAGAGCCAGATCAGTCAGTGTTCCCTGTAAGCTGAGCGCTTGGGAAGCAGCCCAGAAAAGATTCAAATGTCACTCAGCTGACTAGCAGAGCACCTGGAGTCAGTAGCATGTGTTTCTACTGGCGGTGCACATCCCGACACATGCTTTGGTTCATATAATATTTATTCCACAAGTGGATGGGGGGGGGGGGGGAGGAAGGGAGGGAACATGGCACTATACAGTGCTCGTCATCCTGCCTATGCATGTCTCTCAAGCTCCTTGCTCTCCTACAGTCAGTGCTCCAGGGATCGTACCTGAATGGCTTGCTGTCTGGGTCAGTGTCTTTAAATCCCATTTCCTCCAGTTTGCATCGCCGGTACAGCTCATAGTGGCGCGTGTGGGTTTGCTCACGAAGATCCTCCATGTTCACACGGATTAGCATCTCTCTCAGCTTCACAAAGTCGCAGTGAGTTTCATTTTCAACTGTTCAGAGTTGCAAGGAGGAGTTACACAGAGACATATGCACACGTCTTCTCCGGAGACCCTCTCAGCCTTACCCTGCCCCACAAAGGGACTTCAGTAACCCTTTCTGGCATGGAAAACAGCTTCTTTTAAGAGGAGTCCCAAGCAGTGATACACCAAAGCAGTTCTCAAACTGTGCTCTGCAGAGCCCCAGGGGCTCTGCGAGGTTGACAAACCGGAAACATCGATAGGTACAACACATACAATCAGTGGACCGCTGGGGCTCCGCATACATTTTTATGCATGTAAAGGGCTCCAGAGCCCCAAAAGTTTGAGAAGCGCAGCACTAAAGGATTCAAAGGCACAGAGGTGCCCAACAGCAGAGCTACAACAAGAGATTGATGTGGACTCAGTCCTGCTTCCGCTGGTGAGATCACACTGCCAGTGGGGAGAACGGTCACAGCATGCCCAGCCAACACCGGCAAGCAGCACTCACCTTGCACTGTGCCCCAGGGATACTGACGGATTTTCATCATTTTGTTTCCTATTTTCTGTTCCTCTGTGCTGCCAATCACTGCAAACGGCAAGTGGGCCTGAAACATTTCAACAGGCCCATATTAGTCACCTTTCACTGGTCCCAACTCAGCCTCCCATCCCATAAATCCGGTCACTAAAGTGGGGCAGGGCAGTGGCTCCAGGCCATGACAAGGAAGAGCTGTGGGGATTTTACTGTTGCTAATTGTTACTGCTCTCTAGTCATGACCTCGCTGCCCCAGCTGAACCAGCACAGAGTTAGTGCCCGGACACACATGGGACCAACTCTGCTATTGGTCCTGCCCTAGCAGGCTCACTCTGACTGAGGGGTTAGTTCTGGTGTGGAACCAGCAAGACACCAATCGGTGCTTCCTTTGCTTTCTTCAGCTCTCAACACATTTTCCCTCTTTAAGACACTCAGGAACTCAGTACTCATGAATGTGACCATCTTGGAGGTTGTTCTACAGAACTCTAGCTATAGGACAGAAGCAGGCCCTTCCCTGCTGACATGTCTATGGGGGTAGATCAGTCTCCATTCCCATTCACACCTTGGTCCCTGCACTGAGCCTGCCAGCCAAGATGCCAGCCGTGATGGTTTCTCTCAATGTGGACAAATGGCTATTGTGAGCCGACATAAAACTAGCAAGATGGCAGCAACCTGCAGTTACCATGAGCTGCAATGCATCGGAACCAGCAACCTAGAAATAAAAGGGTTGCCCGCTACCAGAGTGATCTAGTCTAGCACGAGAGCCTTTAGATCCAACTCGGCAAGGAGTCTTGTGGCACCTTCGTCAGTGGGTCTTTGCCCACGAAAGCTTATGCTCCAACACTTCAGTTAGTCTATAAGGTGCCACAGGACTCCTCGCCGCTTTTGCAGATTCAGACTAACACAGCTACCCCTCTGATACTAGATCAAACTTGATTCTCTAACGGCTTTGAATCCACTCACTCAGCCTTTGAGTTCATGAGGGGTATTTATGAAGTAGCCAATGGCAGCAATTGACTCACTCAACAATATAGGAAAGGAAAGAAACCCAGGTCAAGTTAGGGAGACAAACCAAGGAGACATTTTGAAAGAGGACAAGAGTAGGAGAATGGAAGCAGTGCTCTGATTAGCTGGGATGTATTAACTTAATTTTCCTATAAGCACATGGACTCTAGGGTTTGAAAAAAAATGCAGGGATTAATCCAGCTGAAACAACCCTAAACTGCATCAGTTTGCCTGCTAACCCTCAACGAAAGCACGTTCTACCCTGCACTTGTACATCTTGTAAACTTCGGAAACATCCTCTCTGCATGGCCCTTTGTCTTTGCTGTGCCAATTTACACCGCATGGTCTCACTCACTTCCCAGGTGTGCAAAAAGGCCAATGAGGGCTGCTCTCCACTCCAAAGCAGCAAGCCTGAAAGATTTGAGAATTTCATCCTTCTTTTCATTTTGGGATATTGGCACCCCACGAGTAACAGAACACAGCATGGCCTAAGAGACCAAATATAGGGTTTGAAGCCACTTCCAGGGTGTGTCTCTGACTCTGCTACCAATTCCTTCCTGGACTCTGGGTAAGTCACATAACCGCTCAGTCTCAGCTTCCCATTGTAAAACGGAGACCATATCTAACAACCTCAAATGGTTCCTGTGCAAATGAAAGATTGAAAAATATAAGGAGCTCTATAAACGTTAAGCTGCTGCTCCTAGTCAGCTTGTAGGAGCTCTTCATCCCATCCTCTAAAACCTTCCAGAAAAGCTGTAGCAGCTGAACTAAAAATGCTGTTCCCTTAGTACTTTATTCTGTCTGCTGTGTGACGCATTAGACCTGAAGGGTGGGCGGCAGGGTGGATAGGGGAATATAGCACATTCTGCGCTACAGTGAACAAATCACACTCTGTATTTCACTGTTTAAAATAAGCAGACAGCTCCTTCTCTCCCTCCATCGATCCGTAGGCTAGATACCATGCGACATTTGCTAGTAAGAGCCATTAAGCTGAACTGAATTCTGAGTAATTAATGTAGCCATGGGATACCAATTATACCAGTAAGATCAATGACCTTGGCTTTGCTTATAGGAATAAAGAATAAGGATTTAAGATCACAAGTAGGTTGAAAATTTGTTTGGATTAGTGACAAGAATCAATAAGAGCACATAGCACACAGAGGGGAATGTGGAGAGATTTGTTTTTAAGTTGAAAGGGCTGTATTAGAGCCAGCTCAACCCACTCTCTGACACAGAGCCAGAGACCCGTCCTTCAATCCCTGAGTAGCCATGAGATACAAGAATCTTGGTGGCGCAGCAAGTCGAGTCCCTAGAAAAGGGGAGGAAGCATCAATCTGTAAGCATCACTCTGTCACCACTTTAGAGTCAAGCCTCAGTTCCACAGGAAACCATGGCCAGCCCTAGTTAGCCTGAAGGGTGGCCAGATATGATTGGGGAAGTAAGGAAGAAGTATGTACACAGGGTGGGGAAGTCTCAGTGCATAGAAGCTCCCCAGGAAAAGTGGGGTGGGCGCAGTGGTGCATGGAGAATAGCTAGTATGTTAGTGACTGATCCTGCCATGGGAGTTTTCCTATTGGCTTGAGTAAAGCAGGATTGAGTTCCTAGTAATTTTAATGGTGGTAAGCTTCAGATAAAGGATTAGAAGCTTTTTTCCACCTGTACACATCAGTGACATAGAAACCGCCACATGGGTTTAAATCCGGCTACTGAGTAACAAACAAAACACACTACAACAATGCCTGTTTGTATCAACAACAGACTGAGATGAGCTACCTGGCCTTCTCCTGGGCCATGCTGCTCTCATCCTGATGGTCAGAGCAAAGGCATGAACATACTGTACAATCAACCAATCAATCTAGTCTGAGTACTGAGATGGACCCTTAACTCCACAGGGCCAGGCAACTGTTCAATCCCTTAAGAATGTTCTGGGCTAGGTTCTATGTGGACTGACACCTCTACAGTCTCACTGAAATCATCAGGCTTGGAAGGGTGTGTGTTAGTATAGACGTGGGCCCATTACGTTCCATTTTAGCTCCTTCTGCACGAAGAAACAGAGAAAACTTTAGGAAGCAAAGCAGCCAAAGGGAAGAAATGCAACCTCATAGCTGGAAAGTAGACAGCTGCTGGAAATTAGCTAACGGCGCAGGTCTGGAAATTTAGTGCTATACTTTTAAAGAAAACAGATAAACAGTTATTGAACTGGAAACATTTGTGTGTTCTAATTTAAAATGTATTTATTGTTTTCAAGACAGAAAAATGACACACACCCCCAACCCATTCAGTCCAGAGACCTGAAGGGAAACATCTACACATGAAAGTGGAAGGAATTCATATTAGCAACTGCCCAGAAAAACAGGATATTGCCACCTACAAGATCATGAATGGGAGATTTGTTTCCTACAGCACTGTGTAGGAACAGCCAAATACAGCTTCCAGAAAACAAATATTTGAAAGAAAAGATTAAAAAAGTAACTGGACTAAAAGAGAGTAATGAGGTAGATCAAGGACAGAATTCTCCCCTCAGTTACACTAGCACAAGTCAGGAATAACTGACGATTTTAATGCAGATATACAAGTGGAGTAACTATCAACAGAACGTGCCATTTATGCTGAGTTCACCACCATGGTACAGGTAATCGTCAGTCCACATTAACTTTCTTTGAACAACTGTCAGAAATCACTAATGTACAGACAGAATTGTTCTTTCACAATGGCCAGTTTATAAACAGCAGTTACTGCACAGTGCTAGAACTTTACTGGGAAGTCTCAGAGCTGGCTCCCAGCTTTTTACTGAGCTTCTTGGAAAGAATCAATTCAGAAAGATTTTAACATTCACTGCAATAAACCTTCCGATTTTTTACAAAGACTTTCTTATGATATCCTGTCTGTTTCAGATCTAATGTTCTCTCATCACAGGAGAGCTTTACATTTTACTTGTTGGCTCTTTGCTTTCAGATAAATAACCCAGAGGTTTTGTAACTTTGTTACCAAATCTGGATGCTTATACAGGTTGAACCTCCCTGGTCCAGCACCCTTAGAACCTTCATTATGTTGGGCATGTCACTTAACTTCTGCTTCACTTTCCCAGCTGGTTTAGAGGGGTAGCCGTGTTAGTCTGTAACTGGAAAATCAAACAACGAATAGTCCTGCAGCACCCTGAAGACTAACAGGGCATGTAGCTTTCGTGGGCACAACCTACTTTTTCAGATGCATGGAGGTTGCACCAGCTACATGTTTTGTTAGTCTTTAATGTGCTGCTGGACTATTTGTTGCTTTTTAAGTTTTTGCCAGCTGGATAATGCGATCTTGGAAAAATGAATGTGAAGTGGAAAGGCAGGGGAGGAGGGCCAGCCTCTCCGCTGGGCTCCACTCCCCAGCCTCAGTTCCTGGCTGCCCCACCACCCTGCTGGCACTCCCAGCAGCCCAGCTAGCTGCAGGCTTTGCTACCCCATGAGTTCCAGCTCTGCTAGCAGGCTCTGCTCTTCACCACTGGCAGCCTCTGCCACTGGGGCTCTCTAGTCCCACAACATCCAGACCAGAGAGTCCTGGACCACAGAGCTTCAACATGTACCCTTACTAAAACCCTTTGAACTTATCCCTAAAATGAAATACGAGACAGGTCAACGTGTAGTGACTACATGATTAACTAATAAACTCGGGCTTATTGGTTAATTCTATCGACTGCACGTACTTCTCCCCACTTTGCTGCCTCTGTATGATAAGCAATGAGGGGGGGCAGGCAGGAGCCATCTGCTCCCACACCGCTGCCTCTATTAGAGGCAGCAGCGCTAGGGGGACTACCTGCTCTGTCCCTACCTCTCTCCCCCCACTATTAGAGGCAGCAGCGCTGGGGGGAGGGAAGGGGCACAGAAGGCTGCCAGACAGCAGCCTCTATCCATGGGGAGCCTCATGCCACTGCAGACAAAGACTACTCTGTGGGATGTCAGCACAGTTCTTGTCCGCAGGGAGCTCGGGCCCACGGGGACAGGGGCTTCTGCCGCCCCGCACTGCTGCATCTGTATCTGATGGAGAGGCAGCAGTGAGGAATGGCAGGAGGCTTCCCCAGGACTATCGAATAATCTTTTAATGGCTAAGATTTGATTCAGTTACATGATTATTCAATTAATCAGTATCTAACATCCCTATTTCATATGAGTAAGCAAAACACTTTGCAAACAAGCCTCACAACATCCTTATCAAGTATTCAATTATTGCCCCCATTTTACACATGAGTAAACTGAAGTAGCTTTTCTAAAAGTCATGCAGCTACTGAATGATGGAAGGAAGGACTGCAACCCCAGAGTTCTGGCTCAAAAGCCTGTACTCTGCCCACAAGAAATCACACCATCTGTTCGAACTATTTTATCATCTGGCTGTTATTTTAATCTTAAAAGCAGAGTATCTTCTATCACATTTCTAATTTTAGTTTATTTGGATTTTTTCAAACTATCATAACAGAGGGGCCCAGGCAATGTTCCTGGCACAGTCTTTCAAAAATACACTAAACAAGCAAACAGCTCTGTCACTTCCTCCCGATCAAATCAAGTAACCTAGCAACAGCATCGACATAATGAGGATTAATTGATCATGTCCGTACAGGAGAGTTTTGATTTGCACAAATATGAATGATCTAGTATTTTAAGAGAAACGTAATTCTGTCCTTGGTATGTAGATCTGGAGAGAAATGAGAAGAGGAATGGAAGGCCTCTCCGTCTTTTAGAGAAGTTTTTAAATAAGCCAATCCTATCTTCTGCTCCAAATGTTAATTTAAAAAGTAAAGAACCTTTCTGCTTTTGCCTTATGCATTATTCTTACAGGTTTCAATCACTCTACCAAATTATCTCCAGCACCTGAAATCAAAGCAGATTTGCTTTATGCAATTAAATTAAATTATTATAATCTATCTTCTCCATGTTTGATAAAATACTGGAATCAAATTCAGATTCCGTCCTGTATAATCATCGGTCCTCATAAACCCGGCAATTATAATTTCCATCGGTGTAATGTGAGAATTTAAATCAGAGTCTTCCTCTTTGATCAACCGCTGGCAATTTACAGTGTATTTAAAATCTGTGAGGGCAACTCCCATTCAAGAGAAATTAAAATGACCAAAGCATAGTGACTGATATTTACCCCTGACCTTAGTATTACTAAGAAAGTGGTAGTTGTTCCTCGGTCAATTTTTTCCCCAACAATAGTTCCAAGGAAGCAAGATCCAACAGCAAAACCATTCAAATAACAAGAGCAAGCCACAACAGAAAGTACAGACCAGAGCCACTCTAAGCACACACCCGTCTCTAAAGATTCTTTCCACTTCACATTTTTCCAAGTAGACATTATGCAGCTGGGAAAGTGAGGCAGAGGTTAAATGACATGCCCAACATAACGGAGCAGCCAGTGTCACAGTAGGGGCCACACACAATCCAGTCCTCCCCCCTCCACTTCCTGTCCTTTGTTCCAACCCTAAGCAGTGCTGGTTCCCTTTCACATGTTCTCATTAGATAAAGTCACAGAAAATACTGACCCAATACCTTTGGCAGAAAATGCCTTTTCCATCTTAAATCTTTAGAGAATGATTGAGATGTGAGAAGATAAGAACATGAAGCTGTCCGTTTTCCAGGAGGCCAAGGTATTTACAGGGACAGTGAACACCGTGATCAGATGCAGGACACAGGTTCTTGGATCTGAATCACAATTCAATGGCAAGCAGAACAATTGCCAACACAAGTTTTGTGGGTGCAAGAGGTGGGCCTCTCTGCATTATGGTGGAAATCCAGACGTGCACAGGAGAATTTCTCTGATTCTGTTATTTGGAAAAAGCTAAGGTGCCGCAAGCCTTTTTGGGGAGTGGAAACATTGTGATGATTAATTACAGGCACACAGTCCATCTGCTTTCTAGTTATGGCCAAAAACATGCCACCTTCATCAAAGCACGGCAGCCAGATGAATTTCTGGCTCCAAAAGCATCGAGACAACACAGAGCAACTAGAGCCAGCAAGGGGGGTTATTGTTGTGCAAAGACATGGTTACATGACGAGGAAGACCCAAAAGTATGACTCTGCAAGAAAAAAAAGAATGCAGAAATACCAAAACAGAAATGGGGAGGAGAACAGCATAGAAGTACGAATGCATCACTGTGTCTAACATAGACAACACTGATCTGAATAAGGCATATTCCAGAACACCACTCATGTCATAGGATCAGACTTACACATCTACCCTTACCTTCCATTTGTTTGTCAGCAGCTGCAGCACATACGCATCCAGACAGCCACAAAGGGGCTAAAAGGATGCATTATTTCCTACTGTGATCGGTCAGTAAGAAAGGTAGTAAAGAAAGCATGGGACTCTGCTGGTCGGGGTGAGTTTGGGTAACTGGAGAGAAGTGTTGATTTGAAAAACTGAGGATGGACCCCTCTGGCATTCCCCTAACCTACAGTGATGTTCGTCCACGCCACTCCTGCAGAGGAACACCCACCCTCAGGAAAAGAGCAGCCCAGTGCCAACAAAGCCACCCCTCCACATCTATAGGCAGCATCTACCAATTAAGCCATGTTAGGAGAGGGCAGGGACAGTTGACTGAGGTCAGACGGGCACAGCAGAATGGGAAATTTTAACACCTTCCCTGACAGAATTTATAGGAAAACCTTTTAGCCCATTGCACTCTGAATCTGGACCGACCAGGCTACTGAGCTCCCCCAGAAACTGTTCCGTCTAAATTATATTGAATCAACGGAATTCTCCCACAAATGATTCTGACCCCAATGAAGAAGTAAATCAATCCCTTTCCTCCCCCCTCCCCCATCTCCAAAACAATTCATCTCTTAAAATGTCAAGAAGTAATAATGGCACATTTTAAACCAAGGTAAGACATTAAAGGTGACCCGGAAATGTGGGAGGCAGGGGAAGGTTTTTTTTCTTTCACTTCTTTACAGATATACAAAAGCAGAGATCCCCGAACTGTGTGCTATACCCCCTCTTGGGCCACCCACCTCGACTCTGCCCCTCGCTTTACTCCCTGCCTGGCCCCAGTCCAACCCTGCACTCAAACACGCTCTGGCCACAGCTCTACCCTTGGCCATCCCTCAGCTGCAACCACAGCCTCCTTGCCCTGTCTGCACCTGTCAGCCGACAGTCTCACGTCTGGCTACAGCACCCCACCTTTGCCCAGAAGCCATGGCCCCACCCCCAGCTCAGCACTTGGGGGGGCAGACAAGGAAAAAGGGGAAGGTCATGAAACATTTGGGGATCCCTACCTTAAAGGATATTTCGAGAAAAAAAGACACCATTCTGCTTGTTTTTTTAATATTTAAGTTGTGCCTGCCTTGCAACTTGAGGGGCAACTGGGAAAACTAATGAATTATAACAGCACTAGAGGCAGGCCACAGAGTTGGCTGTTTAACACACTTTGGATAGAACTGAACTATAAATATAAAATTGCAGCAAAATCCTCTTATTGCTCTTTAAAGAGGAATAAAGCAGAAAATGAACAAAAAAATCAGCAGGGTGTGGGGCAAGTCACAGTTATTGTTACTTACATTCATTGTCCCGTTTATCTCAGCCACCGATTCGTCGTCTGTTGGGAACTGGTAGATCTGCACCCCATTGCTGACCAGTTCACTTGTAATTTTAATTTTAAATTTTGTCAGTTCACTCTTGGAAATGGCATCGGATTTGGCAATGATGGGAATGATATTCACCTGAAAGGGAAGCAGTAAAAAAAGGGTTTAGTCTTCACTCAGTGACAGCAGTGAAATGAGCAATTTCCATGTCTAGCAAGAAAACATAGGGCCACATGAAGAATTTAAGTGTGTACTATGCAGCCTTCTCAGTAACTCTGCAGCATAACCTGCACTAGCTCAAGGAATGGAAGGTGGGGAGGAGCCCTGGGACAGATCTGTGAGGTTCCACAAGAGTAATCAGAGAAAAAGGAAAAGAGGATTGAGGTGATCTGCCCCGTACCTTACTGTCAAGCTTCTTCATTGTTACCAAGTCCAGAGACTTCAGGGAATGGCCTGTGGGTGCGATGAAGTACAAGCAGGCATGGATACGGGAGTCATGGAAGTTGTGCAAGACTCTCTTTATCTTCAGTTCCTCTTGCAAGTAGGCTTCAAACTGGGCATCAATGAACTCAACGATGGGCTTATAGCTTTGGGGGATAGGCGGAGAGAGAAAAAACAGTTCATTTTGCAATACAGAGCATTGTCCATCACTCAGGCTCCATCATTACAGTTTACTAACCCAGAGTGCAGCCGCCTGTGAAACTTGCTCTTTTGTAAACAGTTTGCCTTGTGCTAGGACATTGGAATTCTCATGCCCAGTGACCCTCTTAGTCCCCTGTACCTTGTGTGACAGACATCAGCCCCAGATGCTTCAGAGAAAGCGCAAGAAACCTCGTGAAAGGATGGTTACAGAATAACCTGCCTACAGGGAAGTTCCTCTTTTACCCATGGCAGTTAGTGGCCTGTCAACTTATGCCTTGAAGCGTGAGGGTTTATATCTTACTCTCACATACCTCTAGAAATTATCATATAAATGTCTAATCAGGTCTTGGCCTCATTATTGTCATGTGCCCATGAGTTTAACTGCATTTCTATTCTCATGGGGTGGCTTTAACACCACCAGTCAATTTAATCCTCCTACTACCACAGGAAGTCTATTTTCTGCAACGTGCTCTCATTTGTTTCCCTGTAGAGAGATTTGAAACCCTGAGTAGGGATATAAAATCCTAGTGAATCAGTTAACTGGTTAAACCTCAGGTTTAATTGGGTAACCGATTAGATGGGATCCAGCCCCCTTCCCTCTATGCAGCCCCACACAGAGGTGGGGTGGTCCCTGCTCCCATCCCTCCCCCACTGCATGGGCAGGTCAGTCCTAACCCCTGTGGGTCTGGAGCAACATTTCACCTGCAGCAGGCCACGGGCTGCTCCGAGGTACTGGTTAACTAGATTACCCATTCACATCCCTAATACCGACTACTGGACACATGGAAACAGAGTGACTATCGCTTAACTGCCAAGATTGCTTATTTTAAAAAAAATATGCTGAAGTAACTTCATCCAGAGACCCTCTGCAGAAAACTACAAATGAGGAGGAAGGTATTTCTGTGATCAACACTCTGCTCTTGAACCCTAAAAATGGATGTACAGTTGTACCACTCTGTTTAAGCGCCTGGAAAGGCAAGTCAGCAAGGACCAGACCAGTTCCCGCAGAGCATCTAATTAAGGTCATGTCCCATACTCCCACTTGAAAAACCATTGCCAGCCCCCAACAAAGACAAGCAGCCACTGGACCGTAATTGTGGTTTGCATCGCTGGAGCACCAGAGCGAGAGTCAGAAAATACTTCCGCTCTTTAGACAGGGAGTGCTCAGTCATCCAATGGACAGACTGCAACTTTGGTTACTGAGGAGGACACAGCTTTCAATCAATGAACCCTGTCTTCTAGCCAATGCTCCATGCAGCACAGACACCAGTAAGAGTCTGAGAAGGTCAAATACCTGCCCACCTAACCACCATCCTATTCCAAGCAGCCACAAGCAGCAGGGTAGAAATGGGTTTTAAAATGCGATTCCTAGGAGGTGAGAAGGCACCTACCACCCTTTCAAAGCCAACTGGACCTGCCTGGGTTGATTCAGGTTAGAGAGCAGATTGGAAACCACTGTCTAGTTAAGTCAGAGAATAAAAAATACCCTCTTACAAACATCCCCTCACTTCTTTATGCTTACCTGTCTTCTTTGTTAATCTGGTCCCCAAAGCCCACGGTGCCCACAATGGTCAGTTTCAGGTTAACATTGCTCTCCTGAAGGTCATAAGTACTGGATTTCAGCTGAACTCCAGGTTGTGAGTGAGATGCTGGCTCACCTTCGAATTTAGTATTGAAAAGGGTATCCATAAGAGTGGACTTACCAAGGCCAGTTTCTCCTTTAAAAAAAAAAAAGAAAGAAAGAAAGAAAAAGTGGCAAAACATTTTACCAGAGTTGATAGTTCAGCCCATCAAGGTCAGAACGGTTAGCAAGGGCGAAATTTCAACAGATGCAAGCAGAACCCATGGAAGGATGTTAAACTGTGGTTATCTGGCTAATTGTGTAGTTCATACAATTTACATCCACTACACAATTAGTCGATAAGGACCGCTGTGCAGAGCTGTAGCAGGGGTAGCTTCAGGATCCAGCTTGAGCAGGGACTGAGCAATCCTGACGTGTACTGGCTCCAGGACCCACCTGCGCTTCAGCTCTGCATTTTAAATATACTAGCCACTGGGCTCGTGATACACTTAAAATGCAGAGGCGCAGCATCCCAGACCAGTGTGAGCCAATATTGCTCGGTCCAGCTCATGCTAAGTCCAGCATCCCCTGATTGCAGCGGCCAGGGTCTGTTGCCGGATCCATGTGGCCAGCCCGGGCCACCATGAACAGCAGCTGCCTGGTGGCAGCAGCCTCCCCTATCCCCACCTTGCTGCCTCTGATAGAGGCAGTGTGTGTGTTGGGGGGGGGGGGGGGGGGGGGGG